GTCCATATTATTTTGATTAAAGATGATTAAAAGGACCTAAAAGTGTTTCTGAAATATCACAGCCTCCGTCTGTGTCTGCAGGAAGTGAAAACATATTCAACACGGAGAACGATGACAGCGGCAGCAGCATGTGCTCATGCTGAAGACGTCGAGACGAGAAGGTTTTTATATTTTGTCTTTCACTTTGCTGCCCCAGGATGAGCTAAATCGGGCTTATTTTGAACTGTCAATCATGCAAAGCTACTCTAATCAGTCCAAGAGGGAAAATATAAAGCTGGAAATGACCGGCTTAGACAGTCAGCCACCACCCATGGAAAAATGCTTTTCACACAATTAGACGATACAAGAGCTAATTGTTTGTTCTTGTACTGAGTACACAAAAACTGAAACTAATTGTAACACTTCAAAGCATTGGGGTTAGTAGCACTGAGAATACAAAGGAAGCTGAGTCACAAAAGTACAAACAACACAAAGGAAAGAATGTGCAGGTAGAGACAGTCAGGTGAGGACACACAACCACAGAGATACAAGAACTAAATGAAGGGCAGAGTTAGCCAAAGGATAGGACATTTCAGACTGGGTTAGGTTCACACACACACACACGTTCTTTAAACAGCAGCAGGATTTCAGCTGCTCCAGAATAAAAGGACGTTCCAGCACACTGACCTGCTATGCTAACTTTAGCATGTGTGTCAGTTAGCATGAAGCGTAGCATCTTTCAAACAGCATGGATCGCCAGGGCTGAAATATGAAGCTAGCACAGAACGTACACGAACTGCAGTTCCTCTAATGTCCACTCGAGGCTGTCTCCAGCACTGAGTCACACTCCCAGGTTCAACTCTCAGCTTTACAGCAGAAGGAACCACGTTTAGAGCCTGATACGAGTAACAGTGTGGGACTTTAAAGCTAATTCCCCTCTTTGCAACAGCTCTGAGTGGTGGGATTTTTTAGGCAGCGGTGATGTGAGGACTTGGCGACAGACCTGTGTGACAGACAGAGTCTCTCAGTGTTGATTTGGTGATTTTAGAAAGTCTAATAAGACTTTTTCTCAGCTGGCTGCTCCTCTGGTTTGATCTCTTAAGCCTCTCTGTCTGCAGACCTCAGCTCATCCAGGGTCTGCCTCGCTCTGCTGTACATCACACGTGTGTGTGTGTTTGCTACATTTAAAGTGTGTGTGTGTGTGTTTGCTACATTTAAAGTGTGTGTGTGTGTGTTTGCTACATTTAAAGTGTGTGTGTGTGTGTGTGTGTGTGTGGCAGCAGCTCCTCTCCCTGCTTGTTGTTCCAGACTGAGGGGATCCTTGATGTGACACAAGCTACGTGACACACGTGTGTGTGTGCGTGCATGTGTGTTTTTCAGCCTGTGTGTGTTTCACAACCAGTTTGTATGAAAATTGTGTGCATGTACGTCTCCTAAAGAGTGAGTTTTCACTTCAGCTTTATTTCTGTGTTTGGGTGCTACAGAAAATCAGAGGCTCTGGGGTTACCTCTCTCTAAAATACTCACACACACACACACACACACACACCTCGATCCTCTTATACGGGCTCATTAACTCTGTAGTGCGTTGATTAGCTACTCAACAATCATGCTGTTATTATTACTGGCATCAGGAGAGCCTCTCTCTTGCTCACGCACACACACACACACACACACACACACACACAGGTAAAGTGTGTTTGATGTAATGATGAAGGAGGCTCTTTCAGAACCAAAGGGTGAAGAAACACATAGAATCAAAGATTAAGAGGAAATGAATCAGTCTGAAAAAAGGTAAATTTAAACAAATTTAACAGAAGGAGAACAAGAAGAGGACAAGGTGAGGAAGAATAAAAGAAGAATGATGAGGAAGATTAAACTAAGAATAAAGGAAAAGGAGGAGGAGGACAAAGAGGAGGTTGCTGGTTTGAATCCTGCCTGAGTTTGCATGTTCTGTGGGTTCAGCCGTCACATTTATCAGCGCTCTGTTGTTAAAGAGTGTGTGTTACCGATCGGTGCACAGAGTGTAACGGTGTGCTGACATCAGGCCGAGTGACATTAATCAAGTTAGACACAGTTCAGCTGTCAAATGTCAGCAGCTGCCTTTGGGCTCCAGCTAAAACTCGCTTTATTTCATTATGCAAGAAATATTTTGTAAACTCTCTGAACGCCGAGGCTCAGCGAACATCACTCGGATTGATTTTTATTATAAAAAC